GACATTATAGCTCGTCGTTCTACCATTATACATATCATATACCATTATAGCTCACCATTCTACCATTATACATATCATATACCATTATACATATCATATACCGTTATAGCTCGTCAGTCTACCATTATACATATCATATACCATTATAGCTCGTCGTTCTACCATTATACATATCATATACCATTATAGCTCACCATTCTACCATTATACATATCATATACCATTATAGCTCATCATTCTACCATTATACATATCATATATCATTATAGCTTGTTAGTCTACCATTATACATATCATATACCATTATAGCTCGTTAGTCTACCATTATACATATCATATACCATTATAGCTCGTCATTCTACCATTATACATATCATATATACCATTATAGCTCATCATTCTACCATTATACATATCATATACCATTATAGCTCATCATTCTACCATTATACATATCATATACCATTATAGCTCGTTAATCTACCATTATACATATCATATACCATTATAGCTTACCATTCTACCATTATACATATCATATACCATTATAGCTCGTTAGTCTAGATCGGNATTCTACCATTATACATATCATATACCATTATAGCTTACCATTCTACCATTATACATATCATATACCATTATAGCTCACCATTTTAAACATGTCATGGGCAATAAATCTTATGTATTTCAATGTATCAATATGTATTAAAATTTATTCTGACTTATCGAATGTATTCAAATGTATCAAATGTGTTCAAATGTACCAAATGTGTTAAAATGTATCAAATGGACGAATCTTTTTGAGATTTGTGAAAAGCGCAGAAAGTCTGGTTCATGGGAATGTCATCACGTCATGGCTCGATTGCATCTCAATTTCAATTCTTTGTGTTTTGCTCACACTACTATTATATAGGCCTACATGCCTAGGCATGCCATGCATAGGCCTATATAATAGGCCTACATGCGCACCAATAATAGGCCTATATAATAATAGGCACTATATAATAGGCCTATATAATAATAGGCACTATATAATAGGCCTACATGCGCACCAACAAATGTGCTTTAGCATAATTGCAGAGTTTATAATGTCACTATCATTCCTGTGCACACGTTACATTCATTCGAAAGGTCGCAGAATTTTCTAATCACGTGTCACTTTAATT